CCTCCCCCCCCCCCCCGCACCAGAAACGACTTCCCCCCACAGGGCTTTTCTCCTGCTCTGTGGACAGTACAGCTTGTTTTCCAGAACGCTCAGTGCCAACACGTTTAACTTTCACTTTGAAAGTCACAACCACGGATTTGGTTAATCCCGTATCGATTATAACGACGATGTTTGTGGTGGTGGTAATAGTGATTTTGTGGACATGAGAACAAGGCTTTTAAAATGGTGTCTGATGTGTCGCATTACGTGATACCCAAATTAAGAAATTGCAAAACGAGGACACGGGAAATTCACTCCATAGGACTTATTTACAGCTTTTTTAACCTTGAGTCTCTGACAAAGCCAGTGTTGAGGTCAGATATTAGACTCGGGCGGATATGGCGACACATCGTGCGATAGCTTTCCAGTCACTTATAGCATCTCTACGTTTCGTTTGTTCCCTAATAAAAGATATCCACCCCTCCCAACTCCCCTTTCTCTCGAGATAAGTACTGAGCTGCTCATATTATCGGCTTAGGACACGTTATATTCTAAGAAACGTTGATGACACGAGTGGATATGAAAAATGATACTCAACCCACACCAAGTACTAGTTCATCATTTTTTTCTCGGTGTCGTGTGTCTTATTTCCGGCCGGACAGATCAGGATACTGTTGGCTTAGCTAATCATTACACTATACTTTGTTCAAGATGTGTATAGAGCGAAGATAAACACGGACGAGGAACAAGGACAGATTGATTCTCTTTCTTTGCCGGAACATAGACAGAACCGCAGTCAAAGGCAGGCCTGATGTTAAATTACTGAAAAAATCGCTCCAACGACGTTACGCAGGCGTTTTACGAACGTTGAAGAAATTTTTAATCAATTTATTTGCAAAACTGGTATTTACTTTTCAAAAATAATTTAGTTGCGACAAAACGAGAGCATGCTAAGACGGTAACAATTGATGCTACGTTAATTTTAATCAACACTACTGAAACACATATTTCAGACGAGTTATTGTTGATTATAATAAATAAGTTAAATATACATAATACATGTTACACAAATTTATCTTGTTTCTATTTTTTTTAGGTTCATGTATACGTTGACCCATGATAAGGTAATTCGACTTATTGCCCTTAAATAAATTGTAAATTAACCTTAGTTTGACGCACTTCGCCCTAGAACGATTTTCCAAGAACGCACGCTTGTTAGACGAGGGTTGTGTTCTCTGAATCTGATGTTGATAACAATCGAGTATCCTTAAAATAGATATTTTGCCGGGAACAGTAATTGCCTGTCACACCTAGGATGTTCGAGCTACAAACGGG